TTACAATAGCACATGTTTCAATGCTGATTGCTGAAATGTTACATTTATAATTTGTAGTTCAGGACCATGGACAATGCAGCTTCCTTGCATTGACAGTTCTCTGTGCTGAATTTCTGCTGAGTTTCCTTTGCCTCATTTTTTATTTTGTGACCTGTCTGGTTTAAATGAGTGTGTTGCTGCTTTGATGAAACTTAATTTGATAAAGTTTCAAATTAATTTCTGAAATATTTCGTTAATAAATATTTCATGAGTAATATAGTTGTCTTTGTCCCATTTTATTTGGCATTAGTAAATAATTATGCACATTTACAGATATTTTACATGATATGAGTGATAACATGTGTTATAAGGGCTATTTTGCACAATAGGTGTGCCTTGAGATTTTTACTTGTCCTTTGGTGTGCCTTGGGCACAAAAAGTTTTGGAACCACTGGGTTAGGCACATATATTGTTTTGATATTTGTAACACAAAAACGATGGGAAAAACCCATAGCAACACAGAAAAGTTGGTCTTAACATGACCCAGCTGTCTAGTTAATAAAACATAATATATAATATCATACAAAATATTACTATTAACTTTATTGTGAAATTAAAACAGAATGGTAAAAGAATACGTAGTTTCCGGTCTATTCTGAGACCCAATCTCTGTAGATAAATAAATAACTAAACCAGATGTGTAATATTTAATGCAGCCGAACCATTTATTACAATGCATTCATGTGATGTCTTTCAAAGAGTAAAGCAAGCACTAGCTGAATAAAGTATGATTTTCTCTTTTACGAAACTTTTTTTTCATATGGAATACAGTGAGAGGTCAACCAATCACAGAGCTTGAGGACTAATCATGGGGTTTGTCGAGCAAAGCGCAGGGTGTAGTCGCAAACGATAGCTGAGGATTATGAGTGTAGTGTCTTCGGCCATCCTAAACTCCGATACAACTATTTGTTTCTCAGAGTCGAAGAGAATACTTACTTCCGGGTGTAAAATCCTCCATTATCCAATGGGAATGGACGCTCACATTGCCTTTAAGTGCCGCCGAGCGTCAAATACCGCCGCCGATGGGAATACATTGCAATCAGTTGAAAGCTCTTTGCGTCCGTTTATGAAGCTGAAGGAGACTCGGCGCGCCAAACTGCACGCCAAAGGACCCTGACCAAGCGTCGCTATTGGACTATCAGGGAGTGAAATTGTGTTGCCCAGTCTGCTCTGATTGGTTAGCTGGCCGACTGCTGTGATTGGTCAACCGCTTCGAGATATCGCGCCACTTATCCTATCATGTACAATGAGTTGGAGCGCTAGGCAATAGAAACGCAAGTGCTACATAGTGATGTCACAAGAGAACGAAGAAGCACAATGGAGGTTTTTCAGGCAGGGAGTGTGTGGGAGAGAAACTCCCTCTGAAAGGAACTTTGGAATTGTAGCCTTTGCAGACCATTTACATGCTTTAAAAACCTGTACAACACAACTCAGGAAAGGGATGATAGGGTCTCTTTAAAGATCATTGATGTATAACACCCCCATATTAAAGTGCACCTTTCATGCTATTTTTAGGCAATAGCATAGGTCTCAGATATATACAAATATATAAAAAACATGTCTATGAAGTGTTTTGCTCAAAATACCAAACAGATCACCCATTCTAGCCATGCGTCAAATCCCTCTATTTCACTTCCTGTTTCTAAAGTGCTGATTTTGGGTATAAAGCTTTAAAAAAAAAAAATTGATAAAGAAGGAGGGGGCTGAGCTCATGCGGGACCCGGCAGCTACTGTCTAAACTAAATGCTGCCGTGATGAAAACGCCATATCATGGATTATCAAGGATTATCTCTGAAACAGTATGGAGCTCAAAGGCTTTCTCTCTTGCCGCAGTTATACCACAAGGTGAGTTCCTTTTTATTTCCTGCTTCTTCACACACATGCTCTCCAGTACAGGTTAGCTCTGAGTGTTAGCGATGCTAATGTAAACACCGACCATATTAGGTCCAAAACAGTCGGGCATTGTTTCTGATAGCAACTTTCTGATAGTGCCGTGGATCCACATTTCCGATATTACCTCATATCGGACGCAAATCTGGATCAGCTCCGTTGTATCCCCGTTTTTAGAGATTTGGGTACGGAGGAAAAGTAAAAGGGTTTTATTTTCTGACGCTGCGTGAGTTCCCTGACACACCGGGGACACATATTTATGTATAAAAGACATCAAAAAGTGCATTTTGCATGATAGGTCCTCTTTAAAAAGCATAAAGTATTATTTATGTGTCTCTCACTATCCAAAGTAATCCTTCACAACAGAACATTGTGACACTTGTGTTGCGCCTCTCATTCGCTTTTGTACCAAAATAAATAAATGAAAAAATCTAATTTCTTCAGCCCAATGTGCAATGATGCAACAGGCTGATCTGCCTGTTACACTCTGATCTGACAATATAATGGATGAGTCTATTTAAACTTGGTGAGTCTATGCACATTGCATTAGTGAGATGACTCATATATAGTGCTGTTATCCAACACAGATATCAATAAATACGGGACCGAATACGGAGGGGGGCTCGTTTCATTTGGCCGCTGTCATTTCACGAATATGATTCAACAACCAGAATAAGAAATAGGCCAGACATTTCGCATTGATACAAAAGTGTGGGTAGAATATTAGGGGGACTTACGAGAGAGTTCTCTCCAGCCGCCCTCCTGTGGAACCGATGATTTCTCCAAGGGTACAGAACGTCTGGCCCAGAAAATCCTTATGAAGGAAAAAGACAGGAAGGGAGAGTTAATTGCATGACAGGGTTAGGAATCAGATATATAGGCCGGCCAATGGAGAAGCACCGTGAATATGATCTGTTGATAAGAGCAGTTTAAGGTTGCTGTAACCATACCTCCTGTTAATAATGACCTTTAAGGTATACCTGCCTAATACTGTTTTAATGTAAGTGATTGGGGATCATTCCCAGTCATTCATTGACTAAATATACCTCTTTGATTTTTGTTAGGCTAATATGATGTTTGAGCAGTCTTTAGGCCATTTCAGGCACAACAGCACTACTGCGCTTTGAAACCTATTATTTCTGATGGCCTGCAGAATGTCACTACAGATTTTTCGCTGCGTTGAGCCAAGGTTGGGCGCAAGGCTGCATGTTGTCACAATTACCAGCATGGTCAATAGAAACAAGGCAACAAGCATGGCACAGAAGTCAAAATGGAGGGAACACTTTTAAGTCTGAGACTGTGGGCTTTCCTTTGCAAACCTCAAGCCTATATGATCAGCATAGATTAAGTCCTACTATACGTTTCCTCAAATGCACTTTGTTTGGTCTTTTCTGCGCAACTTTCCAGAACTATTTATATTGCATATTTTCATCACTTACAGATGTTTTAGTACTGAATTACTTCATTTTAGAGCCTTGGTGTTTCCATGCTGATTCATGGAAGGGGATAGTAATACACAGGTAATTCAGTAAAAAAAAACAGCATTACTCTGAGAAATGCCTAATTAATTAGTTTGAATCCGACTTCATCCAAAGTCATATTAGCTTTAGATAAACTTTAGAATGTGTTACATTTATTGTATATTAAAATCACTTTTTGGATGCATTTCTTGATGCTCACTTCTGACAGGAGGAACTATCACAGCAAAATACAACTTTTTTCCAATTTGCACATGGTTGCCTGGCCATTTTACGGAAATCGAGACAAAATGTGAACCTTAGCTTTAATAATGCCCTGCTTAAAGCAGCCATGGAGCAATGGAGTCCCAAGACAGTAGTTTACTAGGTTCTTTTTATATGAGAAATTATTTTTGAACATATACATTTTAAAGTAAGCACAGGGGAGACAGCCCATTCAAACATACTAACACTAACCTTATTAGTTCATGTATTTCTGAATCATAGATGCTTTCATTTACAGGGTATTCCTGTGGAGGCTCAACAGCGGTTATGAAAGCCCATAAATAGTAATAGGGTATTTCAAAGTTATTAAAGTTCAATTAAAGTCTAATCTCATTTTATTGAAGTGTCACTTAAAATGAAGGGTTTAATTCCACCTCTTATGCAAGCATGCATTAACCCAACTAGGTCATGCCCAGGAAGTCCTAGTGGGGTTTATTATTCAGGTGCTTGTTGACTTTTTAAAAGTAAAAGACTGGGTAAGGCACGATAGAAAATAAAGCGTTTTCCTCTACAATCAAAAATTGTTTGAAGTTAACAACCAGCCTGCACACTACAGAGAGAAAAAAAGATATGGAAACATTAAAAGGCAAAGATGACACAACACAATAAAAACTCCCGCACAGCAATAAGGGCAGAGCACTATGTGTTGATGTTTGTCGCGTGTAGGCGAGTGAGTGTAGGTGCGAGTCCCACAAACACTGTTTGTAGCTCATGTAAAAGTCCCAGAGTGCAACATCTTATGCATTATACTGTGTCAAACAACAACATCTGCTATCACTTTGATGTCGGGTTCTGAAAGATGCTTTACCTGAGCGATGATATGAAATGCAGACAGACAAAATGAAGAACAAGACTAGGTGGGAGGTTTTCCAGGTGAGAGCTGTTGGTGTTTGTCCTTGATGGAATGAGATGAAAGAATGGGTACAAAGTACAATAAAATCAAAGTGAATATAAACACGGAAAAATAACAAGTCTTAACAGGGGACAGTGACATATATTGGAAAAAAAACATGAAATTAATGGACGTTCTTAAAATACAATGAGGATAAAACAATCTAGATATGCACCACTTACCTTCTGCTCTCCCACGAGTCGATATGTTAAGAGGAAGAAAAAAACCTTTGTCACAAGACAGATTTAGGGTACACTTAATACTTAACATGTATCAATGCTATGTCATCATAAGAGGGCCGACGGCATTCACTGTAAATTAGCTTTACTTTTAACTCAGCTTAACTGTGTGAGTAACGCTGAATGCAATGCCAAAAGTTCAAGGGCTGATGGAAGTGCTCAGCGCTGACTTATTTTATTTGGGTTTGACATACTTACGTGTTTGGAAATGTTACAGCTTCTGGAGTCCACATTGTACCTTTGAGTAACAAATAGGAGGAGAGATTGGAAAAAATGTGGTCAATTAAAGGGATTTAGTGCAACTACCTGTACTGGTCCACTGTAAAATATGTAGCTGTTCAAAACAGGTTAGGGTTAAATTCCTTGATAAAGCATTTTCTGTCTTCCATTATAAGCAAGGCAAGGCATGTTTATTTATATAGCACCTTTCAACACAAGTCATTTCAAAGTGCTTTACAAAAATGAAAGACAGTAAGAGCATTAAGAAAAATATTATAAAATGATATCTAGAAACACTAATTTCAAAGCAATGATATAAAATGACATTTAAAAACACTCATTGAAAAGCAAAGATAAAAAGCAAAGATAATAAAAGTTACAGTGCAGTTTAAGATATGAATATATCAATTAAAAGCAGTGGCAACAAGAAAAGTCTTCAGCCTGGATTTAAAAGTATTAAGAGTTGCAGCAGACCGGCAGGTTTCTGGGAGTTTGTTCCAGATATTTGGAGCATAATAACTGAACGCTGTGTGTATATAATACACACACAAATTAGCATAATACATTTGCAAATAAACTAAATGAATGAACATTGAACACAATTAAATGCATGATTTTGTTTTATTTTTAAAACTTTCCATTGTATCACAATAAAATTACTAACGTGAATCATGTTTGCCACGATAACTTTGTCGTTTAAATGTATATCAAGATCGCCCTATTCTAAGGTGACCAGATTTTCAAAATGAAAACCGGGGACATTTTGAGTTTTGCGGTCAATATATCATTAACATATCCTATTGTCTTCACTGTTAAAGAAAAAAGGGGGACACTTCTGGTTTAATGTAATTCGAACATTTGAACTGTTGGATACAAACAGAAGGAAGATAGCTCATATATGAGACATCAAAGGTATTTTATTTTGAAACTGTACATCAGATTGTCCAGATTCTCTCTGAGGCCCAATCCCAAACCACTCCCTCGACCCTACCCCTCCGTGACGGAGTGAACTCCGTCCGTAGCCACACTCGCAGCTCAACGAGGCTCCCTCCTGTCAGATGGAGGGAGTAAATACAGCAGCAAGCTTTGGGACGGCCTCCCCTCTCTCCGGCAGAAACAGGAAATGCCGTAACTGTATGTAACAACGGTTTCAAATCAGCATCTCTTAAACAAAAAGTTTAAATGAATAACTCAAATAAAACTCCAAACATCTTTCATTGTGTTTCAAAGCTCTTTTAGTTTTAAACCTGATGTTTATAAGCTTCTTAGTTTTTGCAACAGTCTGTAAATGTACACAACTTTATAATAAAATGCACACATTTACCTTTTTCTAGACTAAACACAGGTATGATCCTAAGTTAAAAACATATGAGGTTATCATGAGGTTGTTAACATCGCAATTTATCAGTGGATGTTTGCTGGAACTACTTGTAAACAGCGTGTTTCCTGACGGACACATATAGCGTGATTCCGGTCAGGTAGAGACCGGTCTCAAGTCAGCACCGCTGCAGACTCGCTGTTTGAGGGCTTGATAGCCCACTCCCCCTCCACACCGCTCCACACTCGTTGCTTTGGAACAGCCCTCAATATGGCGGACCCTCCGCGTGAACGCGCAAACGGAGGGGTAGGGTGTAGGGGTAGGGTGTAGGGGGCGGTTTGGGAATGGGCCTGAGTGATTAGCTGGGGTGTCCTGCTATCACCCTGGAGTGAAATAAGTCTTTGATACTGGATAGTTTTTGTTCTCATTCATAACACTCCGTTCGATGTCTCACTATGGGATGCGCCTCATCGCGGAGCAAACATAAGCATCAATCTCATTACGCCAATCCTGATTGGCTGGAGATCTTGACGTCAGCGTCAGGGAAATCACCCCCTATAAGTAGCTTGCGCCACAACGCATGCGCCATTCAAACACCTCTTCTCGCTTCAGAGCACATCTCTATGGTAGCCGGACAAGCTTCACGGTCCACAGACTGAACCCAAATATCCATTTCGGTCGACGGGCGCTTGCCGGCTACTCCTTCTGCTTCGCAGGAAGACGGTAATTACTAACGCTAGTTATTGTTGAAATCGACCTCGCCGCTCTCTTTCCCCGGAAAGTAAGCTAGGTCTGACTTTTTCAAGCTAGCGTTAGCTTGCTCCCTCACTACCGACACCACGGTAGCGAGGAAGTCTTTTCTTTTCTCTTCCCCACGGAGGAGGAAAGGATTAAAAAGGAGCATACTGCCACACCAGTCAGTATTCTCCGGGAATAAAAGACCCACACCGTCCTTTTCTCCGGATTAAGGACAGGGTGGTTACCTCTTTTTCTCCCAACCTACCTGTTGAGAGCGGGTCCTCTCCACGCCACGAGGCGAACAAGATGGACGCCCCTCTCCCTCACACCAGAGGAGTCAGGGACTCGGTGGCTCGACTCTGCGGCTGCGGGTTGAAGATCTCGGGCACAGACACACACCAGGTCTGCTCGTCCTGCCTCGGGCTGGAACACGCCCGAGGCGCTATCGACAACCCCGGCTCGTGCGGACATTGTGTCCGCTTCACCGTAAAGAGCCTCCGCCGACGGCTAGCACGCCAAGCTAGCCTGTCGGAGCAGGAACCCCCCATGTCCTCTGACCTGCCGGCCGGCAGTCAAGATGCGGGGGCATGTGCCACAGAGAGTGAACCCCTCTCCATGTCGGTCTGGGGCTCAGTATCTGAGATGGCCGCAGAACCGGATTCCTGCGCCCTGGCAGGCCGGGACCCGGTGGCGGCAAGACACGCGGGAACGGGACCCCACGCTTTACCGAGCTGGGGCTCCCAGTTAGACCTCACCATGGTCTCACCCGCGGAGGATGTCCTCGAGCTGAATTACGACGAGGACGAAGAGGACGCCTCGGTGTTCCTCCTGTCCGAGTCAGATGAACATGAAGAGGACATCTTCATGTCATCGGCTCAGACTGCAAAGCCTGGAGCGAGGGCTGCTCTCCCAGACGATAGCATACCAGCTTCGCCCTGTCTGAGTATGGACCTGCAGGCCGTGTGCAAACGCGCTGCGGCCAGACTCGACATCCCGTGGCCTGAAATGGCCAAGGAGACCTCCAGGTCCCGTTACGAAGGGAAACATTTTCCCCAAGCAGCGCGGACAAAGAGACAACTCCTTCCGGTCTTCCCGGAGATGTTGGATGAGGTGTCGGTCTCGTGGAGAGACCGGCCCTTCAGCAACAAGGTCCCAATCCAGGGTGCCTCCTCCCTAGACTGTGACGGAATGGAGAAGCTCGGCCTGCTCCGCATACCGCCCATGGAACCGCTGGTAGCAGCCCACCTCCTACCGAGGATGGGCCCGTCACCAAGCAGGAACCCCACGCTGCCGGCAAAGTCGGACCGATTTCAGTCGACAATGACTGAACGGTCCTACAAAGCCGCAGCGTTGTCCGCCAGGGCCCTGAATGTGGCCTCGCTGCTAACCGCTTACCAAGCGGAGCTCTGCGAGGACCTGTCGGGTAACCCGGGTGCAGCCACTCTGGACGAGATGGCGGCGGTCACAGACATCTGTCTCCGTGTCCAACGCTGCGCCGTCCAGGCCACGGGTAAGGCAATGGGGATCATGGTGGTGCAGGAAAGAGCGAGATGGCTCAACCTCACCAACCTCCCAGACCGGGAAAAGGAGGATGTGCTGGATATGCCCATCGTTCCCGAGGGAATTTTCGGCTCCGCTCTTGCTTCCATGCAAAGGAGGTGTGAGTCGAAAAAGAGGGAGGACGAGGCACTCCACCTCTGCCTCCCTCGAAGGGTCCAGCCGCTGCCTTCGCAGCAGCAATCCTTCGCCCAAGCTGCCTTGAACCCTGCTCGGTTTAAAACACCGAAAACGCAGAGGTCGCAGCCCGCCCCGAGTCCCCAGCCCAGGCTGGAGACGAGGGCGAGCTGGCCCAGAAAATCTCCGGTTCCGGCTGCAGCTCAGGCACAGCCAACCCAGAATTTCGGCCAGCAGGCGAGGAAGAAGAAGCGAGCGGCGTGACAGCCCCTCCTTCTCCCCTCCGTGACAGAGCTGGAAGTCCACGGTTCCCCAGCTCTAAATGTGTTCCCGCCGCCTCGAGAGATGCCTCAACACCATCCTCAAGTCCGCAAAAACACATGTCACAAATCTGTTTGTTCCTCTGTCATTAAACATTTGCCGCTGACGCATCCAGGCTTCAGGCCGAGGGCGCAGCTCAAAAAAATGATAAGAAAAACAATAAAACCAATAAACAGCCCGTCAACTGTTCCCCTTCTGAGAGCAGCTTCGGCATCTCTCAAAAGGCGGATTACAGGCGGGTCTGTGAAGGCACCACCGTCATGCGCATGCGCAGTGCCGGCTGGGGTTTTAAAAGCACCACCGTCATGCGCATGTGCAGTGTCGGTGGGGATTGTCGAAAGGGGGCACCACTGTGTTCAGACACTAGAGGGCCCCATAACACAACAAATAGAGACTCAGAGGGGAAGAGATGTGACATCTCCACTGGCTCTAAGGAGCATGCAGTGGAAGATGCTCACATCATCTGCTTGGGTTTTCAAGACAGTAACACGGGGCTACAGACTCCAATTCGCTGTCACCCCCCCCTCGCTTCTCGGGCATTCTGCATTCGCAGGCCCGAGGAGAGTCAGCCCATATTCTGGAGAGAGAGATTCTCTCACTCCTAGAAAAGAGGGCTATATCTATTGTACCCGCCGAGCAGAGTCAGGGCGGCTTCTATTCCAAGTACTTCCTCGTTCCCAAACGGGGAGGGAACGGAATTCGGCCAATACTTGATTTGAGGGCTCTGAACAAATATCTAAGAAGATATAAGTTCAGAATGCTCACTCACACATCTCTGCTGCGGCTCGTGCGACAAGACGACTGGTTCACATCAGTCGACCTGAAAGATGCGTATTTTCACATCCCAGTATATTACCCACACAGGAAATATCTGAGATTCGCATTTCAGGGGATCTGTTATGAATACAGAGTACTCCCCCTTCGGTCTGTCTCTCAGTCCAAGGGTGTTTGTACGATGTACGGAAGCCGCGATAGCCCCGTTAAGACAACAGGGTATTTGCCTGGCGACCTACCTGGACGACTGGCTGCTTCTCGCACAGTCGGAGCAGGAGGCTGTTACGCAGACAAATGTCCTCGTAAAGCACCTGCTCAACCTGGGTTTCATAATAAACACAGAGAAGAGCATGTTGTGCCCCGCGCAGACTATACTCTTCCTGGGTTTACACCTGAACTCGGTGCCCTTTTCAGCTCGCTTGTCAGCGGATAGAGTGAAAGCTTTCAGAGCTTGTCTCGCTCTTTTCCAGCTGCGCAAACATGTTCTCTTCAGATCATGCCTGCGATTGCTGGGGCTCATGGCGTCAGCCATCCTGGTCGTACGACTGGGACGCTTACACATGAGGGACTTTCAGCGCTGGGTGGCCGCCCTAAAACTAAACCCTGCGCGCCATGGCGCGCGGAGAGTGATGGTTACTGTGAAATGCGTAATGGCACTGCGCCACTGGCTGCACCCGACTTTTCTAGTACGAGGTGTGCCTATGGGTACTGTCCTTTCACGGAAAGTGGTCACCACGGACGCATGTCTGACAGGTTGGGGAGGTATTTATGAAGGTCGCCCGGTGAGGGGTCTCTGGAGCAGAGACCTCCAGCGGGCGCACATAAATTACCTGGAGCTTTTAGCGGTGTTTCTCACCCTAAAACGCTTTCTGCCTTTCCTCAGAGGACATCACGTCCTCGTGAGAACAGACAATACGACCACAATATCGTATATTAACCGCCAAGGGGGTTTGCATTCTCTCCAGTTACACACACTGGCGCGCAAACTTATCCTATGGAGCGGTAGGCGTCTCCTCTCTCTGAGAGCGACGCACGTACCGGGAGTGAGGAACCTCGGGGCAGATCTACTGTCCAGAGGTATACCACTTTATGCAGACTGGACTCTACATCCAAGGATTGTGAGCCAGCTGTGGGTGCGTTACGGCAGAGCCGCGGTGGATCTGTTCGCATCGAAAGACAACGCTCAGTGTCAGCTGTTCTTTTCGATGCGCGATCTAAATGCACCGTTAGGCGTGGATGCACTCGCGCACAATTGGCCCCCGGGCCTTCTGTACGCGTTCCCACCCCTGGCTCTGATACCCCCAACTCTGGCCAGAGTGAGAGAGCAACGCCACACACTTATCCTGATAGCTCCGCACTGGCCAGCTATGTACTGGCTAGCGGAGATATATCAGCTGCTGTGCGGGCAGCCATGGCAGCTCCCACTACGCAGGGACATACTGTCCCAAGCGGGGGGGGCGATCTTTCACCCACACCCAGAGCGCTTGGCTCTATGGGCCTGGCCCGTGAGTGGTACAATCTAAATACAGTGTGACATGACGCTGACCCTGGCAGCTGCCAAGCGAGCCAGTGGCACTCATGCACTATCTGTACAGTTTTCATGCACTCAGTTTGCCCCAGGGCAAACAGAGTGTGGTTGAAGCCTGACCCTGCCTTTATCTTAAGGTGGTCGGTTCGGGTACCACATTTGACATTAAGGCATCCTCCCCGCCACTGTATTCCTCCGGGGAACAGCGGCCGGATTTGCCGTGTCCAGCCTGTGCTTCACGCACGTACAGGGACAGATCAAGGGTGCTTTGTCATAATGACCAACCCCTTGTGTCCTGGGCTAACCCTTATAAGGGCAAGCCTGTTACTAAGCAACGGCTCTCCCACTGGTCTGTGGAAGCAATTGCTTTGGGGCTCATACGAGTCAGAGTTCGCAGGCACCCTCGGGTCCGCGAGCTCTTTCGACTCAGAGTCTGGCTGCATTCTGGACTCTGTCCAGGATGTCTCCCATCAAAGACATTGGTGCAGCGGCGAGCTGGTCCTCGCCGCTCACTTTTGTCTGCCTCCTAACAGGCTGGACGTTCTGCTCCCAGTGTGACTCAAGCAGTGCTGGGCACCTGGTTGAGTCAGAGCTCTACCTGTTAAGTTCTGGTTGGTTTGGTGATTTTCGAGATAAGCTCGTCTGGCAATACGGGAGCTACAATTTCCCATAGTGAGACATCGAACGGAGTGTTATGAATGAGAACTATAGGTTACTTGCGTAACCCCAGTTCTCAGAGTAACATGAAGTGAGATGTCTCACCAGACGGCCCTCCTTGCTATGGTGAAGCGAGAAGAGGTGCTTATTTTGAATGGCGCATGCGTTGTGGCGCAAGCTACTTATAGGGGGTGATTTCCCTGACGCTGACGTCAAGATCTCCAGCCAATCAGGATTGGCGTAATGAGATTGATGCTTCTGTTTGCTCCGCGATGAGGCGCATCCCATAGTGAGACATCTCACTTCATGTTACTCTGAGAACTGGGGTTACGCAAGTAACCTATAGTTTCATTCTTATCTAAAAATAGAGGGATGATAGCTCATATATGAGACTACAAAGGTATTTTATTTTGAAACTGTACATCAGATTGTCCTGATTCTCTCTGATTGACTAGATGGGGTCACCTGCTATCACCCTGAAGTGAAATAAGTATTTGATAATTTCACAGTTTTTTATTTATTCTTGTATAAAAACAGAAGGACGATAGCCCATATGAGATTTCAAAAGGATTTTATTTTGAAATTCTACATCAGATTGTCCTGATTTTCTCTGATTGACTAGATGGGGTCTCCTGCTATCACCCTGAAGTGATTGACTTTGAATGACTCTTTGATTATGGACGGTTTCCATTAAATAATAATCAAAATATAGATGGACAATAGATCTAATTTGAGATTTTAAACAGCACACATTTTAAATTGTGCTTCAGAAAGTAATGTTATTTTAGGAGTGTTGTGAGATGGTGTCAACATCAATTGAAATTAGTCACCCAGTGGAAATGTCAGATATGTCTTCATAACTGTATCCTTACATTTTACATTCACTCAGTTATAATGTGGTAGTTATATGTAGTTTATTTTAAATTATTATTGATCACATTATATAGTACATATTTCTTAATTTAAGCTCCAGTATATATGAATATGTTTGGTGTGTTTTTTAGGTATATTTGTTATTGACAGAGTAAACGCTTTTATTTTGAAGGCAGTTTCTACAGGCCTCTACCGCAATGCATAGGATATTCGCGCACCGCAATACAACGTGCTTTTGACTGTGTTTTCCGAAGTGGGGGCTGGCTCGACCACAGTCTGTTTACCCAGTGTTTCCTGACATGAAACGTTTTATTTCAACCTTGCTATGTGTTTTTAACGTATATTAAAAAACGGGGACATTTCCGGGGACAGTTTCAACCGGGGACAGGCCAAAGGAAAACGGGGACGTCTGGTCACCCTACCCTATTCAGCACTGTACCACAAAAGGCTAAGCTAGCTTGTCTGTTTGTTAAGATACTCTTATGTTTATTTCTACACAAACAGAAAAGACAGGCTGGTTTGAAGTTTGTTGGAGGTTAAGTTTGCCAAAACTGTGTTGACCAACGGAAAGTAATGTAACAAGAATTTAGCCTAGTTTAAAACATTTGCAAGACACATGTTAGATATGCTATCTACATGCTAAGCTAATGATCTCCCAGTTCTAGCTTAATTATTACACCAAGAAGAGTTGTATAATTCTTGCAGAAAAAGCAGGCAACAATGTTTTGACCTATTGAGGAATATGCTTAACATATTCCAAGTTACTTGTCTAGCACAGTTTATCATTTAGCACAACTTGTTCCCATATATATATATTTTTAAATCTGACTGACCTAAAATAATGCCAATAATAAAGAATATCTGAGAGTGTTGCTATTTTCAAATTATATTGTTGTATCTGGGTTGATTCGCAGGGTTTATTTGGAGATTGAAAATAGGGAATACTTTTCAAAGCATAAGGAATGCTCAGAGGTATGAATTATGAACAACACCAACACAATAGAATCATCACAAACAATGTTCCTGTTCCAGTTTTATGTTCAAACTGTATATCAGCTCCAGCCCTACAGACACAGCTGAGACATAAAATCACTTTCCTGTGCCTTGGTTGAAGCCATAGAGGCATCTAAGTGATATTTCCCTGTTATCGATTAAGGATAACAGGTAGGTGAAATGAACAGAATAGCCAAGTGTGTATATAGACATTAATTTAATCAGCGAGGCTATCAAGCAACCTTCGCAAGAAACCTTTTTTTATTTAAATCTCCTTCCCTGATTGGACCCCCAAGATTTAATCTTAGCCCCATTAGCCTGTTCATTTATCCCAAAATGAGCTTTTCATTAGACTGAAGACCTGGAGAGAGAGAATGTATTCCAATGTGATCAAAGGCATTGCTATTTTTGGTTTGTTGCTGTGAACCCATACTGAAGTAGAACCCAAGTTTAGAAAGAAATGAATTCAGATTTATTCAGAAAAAGTGAATGAAATGCTGTCAGATTACTTACACATCAAACCTTAGATTTTGTTTCTCTTCAAAAAAGAAATCCAGGACGAACTTCCTGACGAAATCTGGATTCCGAGTATTATCGATTACCTCTGTCCTGCCAAACTAGAACAAATAGAAAGAAAGTGATAATTGGTGTTAATGGCAGCAGTCTCGACTCAACCAATGCTATCAAGTCCACATCAAGTGAAAACCACCAGAGAAAGAAGTGAATAAAAATTCATGAGATTCAACATTACCATTGTAATATTTCACACAGGATTGGAATCCAAAAATACAAATCTCTTTGGGAAACACTGTATCACACTGAGATTCATTGTACTATGTGCTAAATTGTGTGTCCCTGGAGAAATCAGACAGCTAAATTCGAGCTACATTTGACCAAGGTCCAGCCTCCCTCCTGGGCCAGGCCGTCTCTCCATCTCCCTTACAATCACACAGGTAATCCCCCCGGTGGACGCCAGACTCGCCTACCCTCCCCGGCCCGACAGACCCATGTAATGAGCTATTGATCTCGGCACTGCCTCAGTAACTCGATTCGTGTCTTTAGTGTTCAGCGCACATAATCCATGCTATCAACTGCGTCCCCAACATACCCATTACCAAGGCCATGCAGGGGAGTTTAGTGGACCACAGACCCTACCTAACGCATCGACCCAAAAGGAAGCTCCCCTGATAGTTCCTTGTTGTGTTTCTATTTTTGGGTTGAAGGCCTTTGGTTTATAATCTCACACAGGGGTGATTGGTTAGTAGGAGCATTGGGCATGTGTCAAGGTTAGGGAATTGGCAGGGAAGTTGGTTTTTGCTGTCCTAGATTAATCTGTTTAGTTGGAAATACAATATCGTAGTGACATATTTTTGTAGGCCACACAGAAGTTAGCATTGAATTCGGTATATTGCAGAAAATGAGCTAAACACACATTTATGATACGTCCATGTTTTGTTCAGCAGGATAATCGCCACATATTAACAGCACTTTTTCATTTTTAAAATGTAAAATCAATCACCAGAAGTAGCGTCAGGCTTTAAACAAACTACATCACGGTGGCATGGCTGCTCACATTGCTTAGCTAATGGCGGACTCGTGTCAGATTGATGACGTTTAGTAGTCTAATTTAGTCACTTGTTAGCGACTGCTGTTTTTACGACACATAAAAACATCTTACATTCTCCAGGTGGGTCGTTTCTGATGGATTGTGTGATGGAGAACAAAACATATCAATTATCTTCAGCCTGTGACTCATTCCTCATTGTTGGTTTTAATTAGGCTATGTGTAAGGACTAACAAATGGTTCTGACACTAATATAATGTAGGGTATTCATTTCACCTAGCTGTATCCTACACGTTTGAGTTGCTTAGTAAACAGAGAACAAACATTCAGTTGCATAATAACAACAGCAGTGCACAAAAGGAAGATTTGGGTTAAACATTGTTCCCATGTGTGTTCATGCACAGTTGTTTTGCAGTGACTTGTCAAAGATGTGCATACATTGTGTTTGGGGAAAATTAAGTGGGCTTTATGCTGAGCTTGGCACTTTGTTTGTTTTCTGCATCATGACCTTGGTATAGAAGACTCAACACAAAAACCTAACCTGCATTAGGTTGAATTCAAGCTCAGAAAATATCAAAAGGTGCGTGACATTAATAGAGTATATAGACATCCACTTTTTAATATGTAGCCCCACCGAATTGGAAATAACAAAACTCTTCAAGAACATTTTTGGTTTCATGGCATCAAGTTAATTGAGAAATGTGTTTTCCTTTAGATAAAAAAAAGATCACCTTGAAATAATCTGACCTGAGGCCTGTACGACGAAGCCGGCTCAACATAACCTGGATATGTGTGAGTTAGCCGGTTGGCCTAATCCAAAACATACGCGCTCTCGCTAAGCGGTCCTACGACGCGGGTTATCAAGTGGATCGCTCAAGCCAGCCGTGTCCTATCTAGTTAGGTGCGCGTTCACATGAAAGGGGTGGTATTTGGAGCATTCCACCAATCACAAACATGGAGAAGCGCACTGACAGCGCAGTACGTCATATTTCCTGAATGAAAAGTAAACTATAATATTAGACAAATATGAAGACGTTAAACTTTAAACATCCATGACTTAAACACTTTATCCTGAATACAAGCTATAGTCTGCACCTGCAAGGTGAATACAGCTGGTAAAAGAAAAAGTGTTTGAATGCATACATTAACAGGTTTATGATATCACTGCCCCGTCTAAGACACGATCTGACTTTAATTACATTTGACTCGAGTGTTTCGTCAACTTAAGGTGTGCTTAAAATAATACTTCTGCATACAGTAGCCTATGTGACACTGTGAGTGTTGCACGGCCAGATACGGCTCAGCTGACTCAGATAAGGAAATATATGATACATTATGATGTGATATGAATGATAATGGGACACATCGACGTCTGCACTCACAGTGCCACGGACTGTACGTAATGTTACTTTGATCCGGTTACTTATGTTGTGGCAGATATTTAAGTAAGCTTTCTTAACGCTAATGTTATAATAGTCAGATTGCTCTGAAGATGGGAGGTGATATTCTATTCATTTTCACGTTCACACTGTCAGATTTTTGCCGGCCGTCTTTCCTGCAACGGCAGTTTTTCTGTATTTCCTTTCTCCTGTAATATGACTTGATCACTTTAAACTCCGCACACTGAGCTCTGATTGGTCAGCAGGCGGTGCTTTCACTGAGTTGATCTCTTAGCCTGCAACCTAACCTGCTCCGGAGCAGGTTAGCCGCTCAGCATAAGTTACCATGGAGATCTAGCCCGCTAAAAAGAGAACCAGCTTCGTAGGACCGGAAACCCAGAGTTTTCCCTGAAGTTAGCTCGCTAAGCGAAAATCCGGCTTCGTCGTACAGGCCTCGGGTCACAACAAAGTGCCACAGCTAAATATCATCCTTGTGCAATAGCAAAAAATGTTTAATGTAGCATTGACTTCTGTCTCAGAAGTTATTAAAAAAAATTGGAGCCCTTTATACTCTGACAGAGGAGGTTAAAATGAGATGAAATGTGGCATTCACGCTAATAAGCTATATAGCTTCCCAAATGTTCTTCTGTAATTTTATCTGTCAAAGTTGCCAGAGTTAAGCTTATTTAATTACACCAATCCCAATGAAATAAATACATTTAACAATATCGTTTCTAAGATAGTGTGACCAGGCCTTTACTCTAGTTTTGCAGCATGAAATCACACAGACAGTGATGTGTGTAGTACTACATGGGCCCAGATTTGTGGGAGCCTGTAAGTGAAGATCAAATCCATTGGCTCAGACGAATGGAACTTCTTGTGATAAAACGATGTAGTGCAACAGACTCACGCAGCAGCAGTAACAGCAAACGGCAACAATGGAAACCCAACAAGAAACCTTGAAAAGAGAAGGGTTTGAATGGTTGCTACATCATGTTACACCTTCAGGATAATAGCAATTGATAAACAAATGCTATTGGCATAGGTGTTTTTCACTAGGTTAATTCGGAAGTTCAAATGATTTTTCATTCAAAAGGATACATTTAAAACCCACATATTATATATGGAGTATTGCCAATAATGCAAAACATATGTCAAAAAACAAGGATTTGTTAGGTTTCCATTTAAGCATAATTACAGGCTCCCGGTGTGCCTGACAGCGAGATGTTTACTCAGCTGATTGCAGTTCAGTTCATGCAGCGATTTTAATTAAGCCCTGCCGCATTGAATAAAATAGGTGTGGGGTATCTTGAAGTGAGGGGATCAGCCGTGGCAAAGCCGCCACTGACACATCAATGTTGACTTTGAATTCGCAAATGGGTAAATACACCGACTAAAGATAGAATGTCATGGCCAAATAATAAGAGGGGAAATAGGGACAAGAGATGACAAGCAAACGTGGGGCTAAGAGATGCAAATATGTCTGTGTGTCAAGGAGACGGGAAGAAAAAGGAAAAAAAGGGAGATAGGAATAGAAAGTCCCATAAGTCCAAGCCTTAAAAAAGAGTGACAGAGGAAGTCTCGAGGAGGAAGTCTCGAGGAGCAGAGGGCGCATATTTGATGAGACCGAAAAGGAATCTCCCTTCTACTTCCCCCAGACCTGAGTCACGAAACCTTAATAATGAGATCCGTTTCATTTATTTATTTATTCCTTAATCTTTGAATTCATCAGTTTGGGTCAGGTATATGAAGCTTTTTTCCTGAGTCCATTTCAGACATTGGTTACACTTCTCTGGGCAAGTGGAGAGGTTGAGACTTTCAATTTTCTTCAACAATGTTCCCTGAGTTAGCAGTGAGTTGCCTCTGGAATTCAACTTAATAACCTCCTCATCTCAGCCATGACTGAAACTCACTAGCATCAGGGAAAACTTTTGAAATTAATAATACCCAAAAGAGAAACCGGCAGACAGGCAGACACAGAAATGCGACATTTTAGAGAAAAAAGTCTGCTTAACTCACCTCCCTCCATTCTTTGGTTCCAACAGCCTGCAAATACAACACGACCACTGGAAGAACAGAAGAAAAGACAAAAGGGAAGGATGAGGAACAGAAGAAAAAATAAAAACATTATTAATTATTTGTTCATGTTGGCACCTGGAGCACCTGGCAGTTATTGCAACGCTAACTAAGAGTTAAAGGACACCCATGTTCTTTAGATCTGACAGCTACAAGCTAAATCAATAACTCCTTAACAGAAATAATTATTATAATGAAAAACAGGACTTAAGGCATCTTTAATCTATAGTCAAGACAGTTACCTTATACACAGCAAACAGAGCCAAAGTTACAATGAAAGACATTGACAGAATATAATTTATACAACAGTAATATGTTTGTTTTTTTGGAGGCTCATTCTCTACTTTTCTGCCTGGAATGCCTGCAAAAGAAATGCAGGTGTAATCAATCCCTGCATTCCCCTGCCTTGCATATGCTGTCAACACCTTCAGCTAAGCTTCTCCTGGCTGTCAATATTTTTAAATTAAAAAAAGGGCAGAATAAATATGTATTGTGCATTATTTATAGATCTAATGTTTGGGGTCTTGCTGACTTTCCCTCTAAAGAAGAATGACAGAAAAGTTGCAGCAAGTGCCCCAAAATGACATGTTTACTGTCAAATGACAAAGACCCATAGCAGCCAGAGTAATTATGACTCCTGTCTGCTTGGACAGGTGATGTTATTATAGACAAATGGCAAGCTTCAACACATCATTAAACAGATGACATTGTTTTTTGGTCGTTCCCAAGGGCAGTTACAAAGAGTGCATTTTTTTGTTTCATTGACGGATATATTATTTGGCCACGCTAGCAGCCTGGCTCAATGGCATTGTTGGTCTAGAACAGTGCTTCTCAAACTTTTTTCAGTAATGTACCACCTTTGAAACATTTTCTCAGCCAAGTACCCCCTGACCGATCCCGAACATTTTGATCAAAAAAGCCTAAAAACAATTACAATATAGTGATGTTCCCTCAGTGTGTGATGTATTAACTCCTTCGTGGTATGCATTACAACAAACTAAGCATATTTTCATTTTATGCATGAAAAAAAATAACATAACACTTTTATAAAACAGATTTTTCCAAGGAGTTTTTCAATTTAAGTAATATGTTATTGTGAAAAACATTTGACATGTTTATATGAGGACCCCCTTGGTGGTTCTAGGAATGTTTTATATACAATTGTGTTTTCTATTTAACATATTTTACTAAGATTATTTTTTTAATTAACCTTTTTTTTTTTTTTTTTTTTAATATAAATCTCACGTACCCCCTGCAGTACCACAACGTACCAACAGGGGTCCGCGTACCCCCATTTGAGAGTCACTGGTCTAGAAAACCAACCACCACTTTCTCTCAGGACTGAAATATCTTAACTGCAGAATAGATGGCATTCATAAAAGCCTCAACGGTACTTTGGGTTTAATGTTACTTTGAGTGTTAACATAAAACAATATATATGATATATAGCTAAATAAACCTAAAGATTTTTCCCGTAATAACTATGTACAGTAGATGAATTCATGAAACACACCAAGGACTGTGTATAACCAGGGCTGCACATAACTGGTGCGCAGGTGCGCATGCGCACCCTCCGCCAAAAAAGAGCACCGGATCATTTGAAAAAAAGGCGCATTG